ACCCCGTCGCAACCCCCCCCCCCCCAGCGGTAGGCCCCCAGGCTGTAATGTCTCCTGCACAGGACCCCAGAGACTGCAGCCATAGCCTCAGGGCACTGGAGACACTCCAAGCCCCGGTGGGCCCCCCGCGTTCCTAGAGTGACAAACGATCCCTCTGCCCTCCTCAAAGGGCGCCAGCTGCTCTTACACCACTCTCCACCCCCCCTACGGTCCCCAGACACACCTGACAGCTGCAGGAAGTCGTCTCCGGCTCCCCCGGCACCCCCCATGCCTTGCCGAGGGAGCCCCTGTTCCATGCACACTGCTCTCTTGTCCCTGTCCAGCTGGCCACCAGCTCAGGGAGCCCCAGCTGGCTGGCTGACAGGGCAGGCAGCTGGAGTGAGAGTTTTGGGGAGTCAGCATCTGAAGCTCTTTCCAGGGCCTCTCCCAGTCCTGGACCTCCCTGGGGATGCCCGAAGGGACAGGACAGGCGCTTCTTGTCTGGCCCTAGGCGATGGAGCTTCCCCCAGCAGTCAGTTCCTTTTGCCATCCCCCTGCTGGGAAACAACCAGGTGCAGGCTCCTCTCAGACTGAGGGCTGACGTCAGAGCCCATGGACAAGACGGTCAGGCCGGTGGCACTCGGAGCAGGCTTCTCCCTAAGCCGGCAGACCACGTTCTCAAATGAGAGCACGCCCTCCACCAGGCACCGTGCTCTAGGGACCTCTGGTCAGATGACTTAGGTAGGGTCTCTCCTCCACTGCAAAATGGGCTGCCAGGTTGGAACGGCATATTAACACTCTAGCCACCCCCAGAAAGATGTGCCCCATATCCACCGGAACCTCATGCTGGACCCTGCCCACATTCCTTGGTAAGAGAGTACCGCTGGAACTGAGACATCCCAGGGCAGAAGCCTGTCTTTCTGCCCGCCTAGTATCTGCTCTGCTACGAGACACCAAGGTGTCACAGAAAAGGCTCCCTGCTCTTCCACCCAGACCAGGCACTGGGCTCTCAGCAGGCAGCTGCCTCTCTCCTGCCCGGACTCCTGTCCAGTAAAACCAAGCCCTTGCAGGTTGCCCAGCAATCCAGCTGTGCAAGGCGCTGAGGAGAACAAGAGCCAGGGCGGATCTGGACCCCTTTCTCCCAGCCCTGGAAAGCAAATTCCACCTTTCGGCTCAACTCTCCGGAGTGGCGTTTCCCTTTCTCCTGGCAGCTACTGCCCTCTGCCGACCAGGAGAGGAAGAGCTTGATCTCCAAGGGAAAGGGACCAGCCCTATAAATATGTGACCATCTTTTCCAAAAGCAAACGACCTTAGGCTTATCAGCATCCAGAAGCCCAGTGAATGAGAATGACCAGGGCACAGTGACTCGGTTCCCACAGAAGACTGAACCCAAATCCTAGCAGAGCTTCCCCGGCTCCCCTGGACATCGAAAAAAGTCCTGGGCCCTAGGGCACCACCCATACAGAGGCAGGCGCTGGCATCAGTAACCCACCCGCTGACCGGCCCTCCACCACGTACACGTGTACACACACACACACACACACACACACACACACACACCGCTCTCCCCTCCGCACACACACGGCTCTTCGCCCTGCCTCCACCAGGGGCCCAGGAGCTCTGGCGCCCCTCTCGTTGAGGCAGCTGCAAAGGCGTGCTCGGCCCTGCCCCCCCATGCACCCCAGGCGGGGCTAGCCCCTCACCTTCCCCATTACCTGCTGTCCCTCCGTGCCCCCAGCTAGGCGCTGGTAGGCAGATCGCTCCCCCATGGAGCCCAAACTCAGCGGCGCTGGGCTGGGGAAGCCAGCAGCGCGCCCGCAGTCCCCGCCCGCCCAGCGCACCGCGGCGTCACTGCCCTGCGTCTCCAGGGGCCGGCCGAGCATCCTCCAGGAGGGTAGGGGCGCCTCAACGCCACGGCAGCACCCCTGCACCCGGCAGCCTCAGGCTACCACCAGCCTTTCCTCCTGCTGGGCCTGCGGCTGTCCCCTCCCCCAGCCGTCCCCATCCTGCCTCTCGGCAGCGCTGCTCTCACCCTGTCTCCTGAGCAACGACCAAGGTGCGAGTTGGTCAGCGGGGGCTGATGGCCCGGACAGCACTAGGGGCGGGCCTCCACCTTCAATGACCAGGAGCCCTAGCTCCACTCTGCTCTCAGCCTGCCTCCAGGGCCACCTTTCCATTATAAGGGAATCTCACTCGATCTGAGACCCCTCCTTCCAGACATCTTTCCACCTGCCCAGTATCAGCTGTGCTCCAAGATGGCAAGGCGTCACCTGCCGGGCTCCCCGCCCCTCCACTGAGCACCAAGCACTCAGCTGGCTGCAGCGCCAAACCAGTCCTCCCCAAGCACTAGAGGCCACGCCTCCCGCCTCCCCCCCCCACACACACACACACATCGCCCTTCCCTCCCAGGACAGCCGAGCTGTGCACCCCTGGGAGCCCGTGAGCCGGGGCAGGCCCAGGTACCGGGGCTGACCTCTGTGACCAGACTCCTGCTGGAGGAGTCGCTCCAACACGTGCCCACGCAGGGATGCCTCACCCAGAGTGAGGGGTGAGGACACTGCCTGCGCAGGAAGTCCCATGCAGAGGCTCCTCCTCTCCCTCCAGCCCTCAGGGCCTCAAGGCGCCACTCGCACACCCTCTCATTCCGATGGCATCTGAAGCATCCACTGACTCCTCAGTACCTGGTATTTAGGGCTGAGCTCTGGGCACCCTCCTCCTCCCTGGGTTGGGGCAGGGCAGGGAGAGATGCTGGGACACCCCCTCCCCACTCAGCTTCAAGCTGAGGAAGAGACCTGGGAGGGCTCCTAGGAGGCTCACTCCTGTGCAGCCCTCTCCCACCTTGAAGCAGCTGTGGTACAGGGCGCGGGATGCCTGGCCCGATCCTAAGTAGAGCAGCTCCTCAGACAGAACTAGTCTTGGGAAAAGCTACAAAAACACCAAGTCTGGCGGCTGTGGAAAAGCAAGACTGAAAATGCCAGGCTGATCCGTTCCAGCCCTGGGTGGACAGTCTTATCCAAGCATGCCTCCTTCCGACTTTCTCCCTGCCGCGCCCCCCACAAATCCGGTCTCTAGACTCCACCCTACTGTAGGACAAGACCCAAACTACCCCTAGGATGTGGGAACTCCACCCCACATGACACACACGCCAGCTGGTCTGCACTCGCCCCTTTGATCTCTCCACACCACAGAGCTGAAGGGAGCCCCGGTGGCTGGGGTCAGCCCACCTTCCAGTCCACTCCCCTCTCCCCAGCCTCTCCAATAGCATGGGTGCAGTGACAGATCCACACGGAGGAGCAGGCAGAGTGACATGCAATTTCCGGCGGAGAGGATTTTTCCAAAACAAGCTACCGTATTTTTGGGAATATGTGCCAACCCACCTCCAAGCTGGTCCTCTTCCCACCCGGAGCGGAGCGAAAACAACAGAGGGGGAGAGAGTCTGACAGCTTCTCCCTAGCCAAGGGATTCTCTCACCTCCCCATGTCAGCCCTCTGAGTCTGGTCAGCCTCAACTCACCCCTCTGTGTGCAGAGCCCCAGCTTCCAGACCAAGGACAGGCTGCTTCTCCTTGAGACCTCATTCCAGAGGGAACTGCATAGGCACCCCGACAGCTTCAGGTCAGCCTGGGTCTGACAGCACACTGGTTGGGGAAGAGGCTGGCCAGGGGCCAGGAAGAGAAGGGAGTGATTCAGACACACACCACGACTGTCCACGCCCTCTCCATCCCCCAGGCACAGGGGCTCGTCTCCTTCCAGGGGGGCTTGACAGCTGAGGTCCTGAAAGCAGGCAAGGCTGGGGCTGTGTGTCGGTCAGCAGTTCTGGGCCCAGGGGCCCAGTCCAGCCCTGATGCCTCTTCACCCTTCTTAACTGTTGGTAGGCATTTCCTAAGACCTTTGACTTCACCCTAATTTCTCTTCTCAAAGGGGGCTATCTCCTTTCCTCCCAGGGCTCCCATGACTACCACTCGAACTGCAGCTCTAGACCCACATTTCAGACGTTTACAGGGCAGCTCCGCCGGGAGGCAGCACAGGAGGCACAGAGCTACCTTAATCCAGGCGCAGCTGAACCCTGTAACATGCTCCCGCGCCCAGCCTGAAACCACCACCCACGCCAGCCACCAGGCTAGAGGCCCCAGCCATGACTCCTCCTCTCTCCTCCCCCTCCCACCAGGCACGCCACGAACCATGTTGCTCCAACCTCCTTGGCATTCCTCCTATCAATGCATCAGCATCACCCATCACAAAGCGGGCCTGAAATCTCAGCTCTGTCACTTGCTAGGTGGGCAACTTTAGGGCCAATCTCCTAACTTCTAGGTCTCCATCTCCTCACCTGTGCAGTGGGGCTAAACAGAACCCCCCTTCACAGAGCTGCTACCATGAGCCGTGACCTGCACACTCAGCACGCAAGCAGCACATGGTTGCCTATTACTGTCGCCTGCACACAGACGATGTCCCACCCTGCAGGCACACAAGACCCCTCAGGATCTACTCCTTGCATTTCTACACCTCCAGCTCTTAACCATTCTCTTCAAACATTTCCAAGTCCCACCCAAATCAAAGGTGAAACAGGGCACGCCGTGCTCTTTAATTTTAGCATTTCTGAGCTATTGCTCTTGACATGCCTTTGTCTATATGGTGAACCCCACGTAGCCCTCAAGACCCAAACCAAATGCTGTCTCTTCTGTAAATTCCCATTTCCTACTCCCAGTTATTGTTGCCAAGCTCCCAGTTTGTTTTGTTGAAGGAATACTTAAAAACAATAGTATAAACACATAGTAGTCCATGTAGAGAACAGCAGAATGTATAGAATGTCTAAATCTTAAATAAAAAGTGTATGAATGTGTTAAAGGAGCCTTACCCCATAGCCTTCCGTACTAGTATGTGATTCTATGGAAGGAGCCCTCTCCACGCATGCCTACCACATCTACTGTGTTCTGCAGGTAGTAAAGGAGGTGTAGTCACAACTGTCACCTCTTTTGTTCTCTGTTAATTACCAAGTATACCCCTTGCCAAGCAGAAAGGGAGAGCTCCTCCCAACAGGGTGTGGTCAGGCCACAATCCCTTCCCCATTACCTTGTCCTGCTGGGATTGTGTGTGCACATGTACATGCGCACACATACACCCAATGTGCTTTCCTTTCCTTTTTATTTTTTTTTTTGAGATTTTTTTTTTTCTTTTTGCTATAGGACACATGTGCTCACCAGAGACACAGAAAGCGAGAAATCACCTCATGGGGGGATGGCCACACCACAATCCCTTCTCTTCCTGGGATCTTGGGCACGCATGCACATGCAACCCAGCGTTGAGTTTCAAGCCACTGGGTCCAGGACTCGAATCGCAGTCAACTACATGGGAGTCCAACGATGTAACCATCACGCCGTCTGCTGATCCCCCAATGTGTTTTCCCCCAGTAGCCTGGGCCAGAGTTCGAACCATGGTGGGCGATCAGCTTTCTGTGCACAGCACGTAACGGTGCTGCACATCTGTCACCTTGAAGGCAGAAGTGGCAAGGAAGCTGGTTGAAATGCGTTGACTAGAAGGGATTCAGTTGATGAACAGTTGAGGAAGGTCATCTGCCTCCTCTCAGGAGCTGCAGGTGCCCAACTCCCCCAGGGATACCAGAATAGGCCTGGATGCCCTGCCCCCTCACCCCAACCCCACCCAGCTTTGCCCCTCCCATTGTTTGTAGTCCAGGGAAATCCATCTCCAAGGGGAGTCGATCTCATTACAGCCACTCCTGTCCCAGACCCACTAAGCTACTTTGCTTCCACAAAACTAATTCAGACCCAGGGACAACTCGGCCAGTCCCACGGGCAGACAAGAGTGGCCTGAATCAGCCTTCTCGAAAGGCCTTTTTCAGCAGCCTGCAGGAGAGCTGGAGCATAGGAGACCACACAGCTGATGGCACAGGCCTGGGTTTGTGCGATGTCCCAGCCTCCCTTAGAGACAGGTGGGGGCGCATGACTGCCAGGTTGGGAAGGCAGGGTGCAGAAGTGGGGCAGATACATCAGACGCAAGGACTCTGCTGCCTCATCTCCTACTCCAATGAAGAAAGTGTACCTTCTAGAGAGGAAGGAAAAGGATATGCCTAACCAACACAACACAGCCCACAGAGCCTGCCCCGTACCAAGTTGGTCTTGAGTACTGTGATGCTGCTTTGCACTCCACCAGCTCCAGGCCAGCAGGCAGCCTGACACCCAGAGACAAGGCCACTGAGATCCCAAACACAAACGCAGAAGCATGTGACAGAGCATAGGTCCCTGCTGCTGTCCGGGTCCCGTGCCCATGCACACCATGATACCAGGTGCAGGGCTGGGATGCTGAGTACATGGGGAGCTGCCTGTCACCCACTGTCCTGCCTGGGTGTCATCACAGCACCAGGGCCCAGTACCATTCCCCACGGGAAAAGGATGACGACAGGTGGGGAGAAGGATGCGGCCTGGCTCCCAGCAGCCAGCCACTCCCAGGGCTCTTCCAGGGCTGAGCAATGGCTGCCCAGCTGGTGGCCCTGCCACTGCCAGCTCAGGCCTCTCCCAGCCCATCCCCCCAGCAAGATCCCAGAGCTCAAGAGGCCTATTGTTGGGCCCTGGAGGTGGGCGGGGCAAGGGAAGGAATAGTGGTGAGGGGAAGCCAGAGCTGTAAGCTGCAGGACATTTACTTGGCTAGTGTCACTCATCCCCTTGGGGCCATGTCTCTGCCAAAATTCCAGGAGTTGGGAGGATGAAGTCTAGGGAAGGCTGAAGAGCCCAGGAGAATTTGGGATAGAGACAAATCTCCAACTGCAGGGTCTTCTAGATAGATGCCATAAATCCTACTTTACCCTGCCTACCCATATGACCGATGGAAAAACTGAGACCCTGGAAGGGGAAGGGGCTTGCCTGGTCTAAGGCACTAAAGCTGTTGTAGAAATGGATTCTCAGGAGTAAGGGGAGAACAAATGCTGAAAAGAATGGTGATTCTCCTCCGGCCACTGAGGGGCAGCCTTGACAGACAGGGGCTGGTGAAGGTCAGCAGACTTAGCCAGAAACACGGCACAGAGTAGACAGAGTGAGATGAGAAAATCCCAGTGTTGTCACATCCAGCTGGGGCTCCTGTTAAAGAGACCGGCCAACCTGTCTCCCCTCCTCTCTCTCCACTCACTCACCATGGAGCTACTAAGGGCTGGCCCCTGTACGAGGTATCTGCAGAAATAAGCGGCGGATGTCACGCTCAGTCTGGGTTCTCAAGACGGTACTGTGTACAAGCTCTTTACTAAAAGCTTTGTTTTTCATTGTCTGATTAAAAACCCTCCTTACCCCCCTAAAATGACTCCCATTTTATAGGCTCTGGAAAGGTAACCAGGGTCACCCTGAGAGGAAAACGTAAAGCAGGACTGAGCCCATATCTGACTGTACGCTAAACTGGTTGGCTCTAGGACATGGGTCCCTAGAGGGCAGAGCTGGAGTCATTATCTCCTATCAGATTTGGTGCACATGCACCATGCCACTCACTGACAATGGATTCATGGATTTCGAGGGGGCATTAGAGAGGGGACAGAGATTCTAGGGAAAGTCAGCGGACTGCACATACACACATAACTTCACTCCTTCCTGAATCTACCAAAACGACAATGGAAAGAAAAGGAAGTTGGGCCAACTCCACAACATAGCAGTAAAGCACCGTTCAACAGAAGCCAGGTCCCACATGTGATAAGGGTTCAAATCCCCAGCCTTGTTGGCCTGAAACATGCCAGGCACATTCACAAGTACCCAGGATCTGACCGGAAAGGGATCAAGGTGTGATCAGACCGAGGGTACTTGTCTGTCTCTCCTTCTCACACTTGTGTGCACACACTCTATCATGAATAAAGAAAAAAGAAAGAGAGCTCTTTTCATTTTTGAATGACATAAGTCCCTGAGGGTGAGGAGAATGGCAGGGGAGACAGCCTCAAGACTATGGGAGCTGGACAGGAGATGGGCCAGTGGGAAATGACAACAAACCTGAGAAAACCACAGATTCCAAGGTGGGACGTACCTGGCTGACCTCACATAATCTTCAAAAGGCCTAGGAACTGGCAGTAGTAGAAACTTCTGGAAAAAGTGAGGTGTCAAAAGAGAACTACTTACAATACTAAATACAGAGGATTAGTTTAAAGTCATTAAGAAACAGTAGGGGGGGCTGGCAGGTAGTGTGCTGCTTGAGATGCTAGACTTCCATATCTCTGACCATGGTTCGAGTCCCGGACATGGCAACTTGCTTTCTCATTTTCTCTCTCTCTCTGCTCAAATTGAATAATGATAATAATAAAAAAAAATTAAATAATTAAAGGAAAAAAGGAAACAGTAGGACCACAAGACTCCTTCCCCACACACAGCCACCATGTAACTGGCCCCCACTACCCTGTGAAAGTTAGAGATCTCCCAAGAGAGAATAAACTGAAGGCCTCTGTCTAGTGGCACACAGGCCTGGCTGAGAACAGGGGTGCCACATTCCAAGCCAGGAAACCATGCACTATAGATGTCAAGAACCTAGTCCCCTTCCCTACCTGCTCTTGGAACACACAGCCTGGCCTCCACAGCCTGGCTGGAAACGAGTTATCTTCTCTGAGGACTCTGACCAGGCCAAGAACATAAAGATATTAATACTGGGGGCTTCCCCAAGAAGGCCCACTGAGGTTATTATACAAAGCCCAGTCAACAAGACCACGTGGCGCTGCAGTCCTCCCTCCCTAAATCAAAAACAGACAACCAAAAAATTGCCAAATACCCCAGGAAAGCCTATAACATGAGAGAGAGAGAGTAAAACATGCAGAAAAAGCAACTGAGAGGAAATAAGACTCTGAAGAAGAAAATTTTAGACAGAAAATTCTCATTAACATTCTCAGAAAGATAAAATATAGCCACAAAATAAGAGCTCTTTTTTTTTTTTTTTTAAGAGAGAGAGATATTTGCTATAGGACGTATGCACTCGCTGGAGAGACACAGAAACAGAGATGCAGAAAGTGAAAAATCACCCCTCGGGGGGATGGCCATACCACAATCCCTTCTCCTCCATTCCTCTCTCGGGATCTTGGGCACACATGTACACATACCCTACGTGAGTTTTAAGCTGCTGGATCCAAGACTTGAACCAGGGTGACTACGTGGGAGCCCAGCAACGTAACCATTATGAAATCTGCTGGTCCCAAGATATTTTTTTTAACTGGGGGAACAAGAAATTACAGACACAGAAGACAACACAACAAGACAACAGACACAAAAAATTCAACAAAATTGGGGCTGGCAGGTGGCACAGTGGTTAAGGTGAGGACTCCCACATGGCCAACCGTGGTTCGAATCCTGGACCTGGCAGCTGCTTTCTCACTTTCCCTTTTTCTCTGTCTCTCTCTCTCTCCCTCTCTGGTCAAATTAAAAATAATAATAACAACAAATAAAATAATTATTTGAAATAAAAAAATTCAAGAGAACTACTCCCACACCACCCTACACAGTCAACAGCAGGTGCTCAGAAATACTTGCTACTAGATAAGGGAGGCACAGATCACTGCTTTATGTGATATGAACCTTAATGTAATATGAATCACCCGTGGATCTTACGGAACTGTAGGCCTTGAACCCACAGACACGGGGAAGGACCCGGGAGTCTGAATTTCTAACCAGCTCTCTACTGATGACACTGATCCACAGACCATAATCTGAGAAACGAGACCTCGCTGAGCTCTGGGGTTGTGGTTCTTTGCTCTGCTGTGTACTAAAAGCACCTGGGAATGGGGCCAACAAGGGGGGTGGTGATGGGTTAAAATGTTGGACTTCCACAGGGCCCCAAATGTGTTCAAGTCCCAGACCCACCAACTTGGTGTATATGTGTGCCCAAAATTCCAGAAGGACAAAGAACTGCAGAGTGGCCATCCCCCATGGGAGGTGACCTGTCGCTTCCCCTCTCACTGCCTTTCTGTCTCTCTCCAGTGAGCACACACACACACCCTACGGAACAAAAAAAAAAAAAAAAAAAAAAACACACACCCTACGGAACAAAAAAAAAAAAAAGAAAAGAAAAGAAAAAAAGAAAAGCCATGGAAGTGTCGATGTTTGGACCCTAAGAATCCCAAGATTCTAATCAAGTTGTTCTAGGTGAGACTTGGGCATCATCCTTGAACTCTATTCAGATAGCACCAAACTAGGGCCGAGAACCACTGCTCTGGAGAAAGCCCGGGACCGTGCCAATCATCTGTCCTGGCTGGAACAGTTGTGTTTTCAAATATCTGCTCCACTGCTGACATAGACCACGCACTCAGGACTCCACTCACATCATGGCCACGGGCATCGGCTTATGGGCATACGTACTGATAGCACACAGTGACACTTTTCAAAGCTGTCCATGGATAGAAAAACCATTATACCAATCCTCCAAGAAACTCATTCGGAGAACTTTTTTCCTTACTAGATTCTCACACTTACCTTATTATTATTATTTTTTTATTTGCCAGAGGGCATGTAAACACGCCACAAAGA